CCTCTTCTGTAGGTGTGGCCTGCTTTCCGGGTCCACTGGTGGAACCTCTTCTAACCGGGTTGGTAGATTTGACGAACCGGTTCTACCGAACAGGTGTGAACTGGTAGGAACCCACCTCTGACGTGTACTATATCTAGAAATATCCATCAATTGGCATTATTTCACTTTTAGCAGAAAAAGTTGATAAAAGCAGCTGCCCATGCCAGTCTAACCAAGGGATAATGTGGATGTTGCTGAATCTTTCTATCTCAAATGATCTTGTTGGTCATTTTCATTTCATTTTTTCGCATGGTTTGGACTTTCAGGAAAGTCACTACACTAAATACAGTATAATGAACAAGAGATACTAGATACTAAAATCAATAGAGATTTTTCTACAAAATATATAAAAGCAATGGAAAACTATTTAGGAGACATTATATTTACTCCTGGCAAGGAAAGAATAAGTAAACTTTAAGTAGAAAGAACGGAAAATCTTTACTCCAAAAACATGTCTGTGGTGAAATGTCCAGAAGAAGCCAGGGCAGCTAATAAGTAATGCTGGTTGTGTTAGTGCAAAATACTTAGCTTGGTTACTAAATAAATCCATTATTTGAATTGCATACCCACAGCGGCTGTGTATGCATAACAAACACACTCATTACAAATCACAAAAAAATCTTGAGCATTGAATGAAAATATTGAATTAATGTTAAACAATGAAAAAGCCATCAATTGGTGTGTGTGTGTGTGTGTGTGTTTTAAAAAACTAGTGTTTTATATATTGTGCAAAATATCTGTTTCATTTTCAACTAAAAGGATTGAACCTTTCCACAGTATACTTCAGGAGAAAAGAAAATATAAAATACTATATGTTAATAAATAGAGCAGGACTGAGCAAGATGGCTCATCTTTGGCTCATAGAGAGAAAGAGATCAAGATGGATGGGTGGGTGGGTGGATGCTTCCAAGAACTGGAGGTGGTACAGCTGATATTACATTGAATTATTGCAGTGTTTCTCAACCTTAGCTACTTTAAGATGTATGGACTTCAGTTCCTCAAATTCCCCAACCACCATGCTATCTAGGGAATCCTAGGAGTTGAAGACCACGCATCTTAAAATGACCAAAGTTGAGAAACAGTGAACTAGTGGATTGTGGTTTTTTTCCAAACAGTTCAGAGGAGGGAAATGCTTCATACTGAATGGACACTGCTGAATAGTGCCAAAGTAATTTGCCTCAGCCTTCTTCCAAAATGGTTTTTGTTTACTTCTTAGTTTAGCCAGTAATGCTGATACTCCCTGGTGCTTACCACTCAAGTACTAAACAAATCCAAGAGTGTTTGGCTTCCAAGCCCAGAAGTCAGCCAGCTGCTGAACTTTAGGTTCCTTCTGTTTTGTCTGTAATCAAAAGGTACAATGGCACGTAAATCAAATATCCAAATGATTGATATGTAAGAGGATTTTAAAACCAAATATAACCAAATGCCTATTATATCGCTATCTATGTAGGAAAAGAAATAATGGTATGCAAAGTGAATTAAGAAAAAAGATAATGTAATAGAGTTGAAGTGGTGAAGAATCTAAACTTTTTGGATTAACATTGTCCTAACAGGCATTTATCTTTGATTCTGTATACCAGAAGAGCAGTAAAATAATTTATTTTGGTGTTCTTTCACTCACTTTATATAATAGTGCCACCTAGTGGCTTTTCTCTCATTTTTAATTTTCAGCAAAGGTTTTATTTATAGACGTTTAAAGAACGTCTTTTATCCACATAAAAGCCTTGGGATCCTTGAATTCACATGTAGAGTTTGATGAAAGGCTTTCAGGAAAGTCAATTTCATTTCATTTTTATACTTCTAATTGTCCTTGATGTTTAGCTGTGATACCTGTAAAACCCCATAGTTTCCTTTTGTATGCCACTTTAAATGATGTGATAATTCACATAACCATGCCATCTTTTAATGTATTATTATTATCTCTTTTATTCATTAAACATGAAACTCAGTCAACCAAGTATTATTATCATTGTTGTTGTTTGTTTGTTGTTTTTGCTGTTTGTTAGTTGTTGTTGCTGTTTTGTTGTTTTTGTTGTTGGAAATCATGGTTTTTGGAAGTAAAATAAATGTGTTAAGTATCTGATAGACTTACTGTAATTCACCTATAATATAGATGATCAATTTTAAAAGATCTGCAAAAGTTAAAAACCTGACAAAAAGCCTTCTTATGGAGACACTGAGATTTTTTTATCTCTTAAAATTAAATATAAGTCTAAATTGAAGAGCTCAAAACCACGCCAATTAAACATTGCAGATATGCTCTGAATAGAACTTCTAATAAGCTTAATACTTTACAGTACCTGTATCTTTTCTCATTTGGTCTTTACCAGCATAACCTCTCATCGTTAACAAATGTCCATTAGAACTTCTGCTCAGGAAGGAACACAGTGTTTAATACATGTGGCCAGGGCTGGATTTTCCTATAGGCTAACTAGGCTTCAGCCTAGGGCCTCAAGATCAAGAGGGGGCTACATTCAAATTGTTAGCAAAGTTTAAATTACACTATTCTAAAAACAGTGAACACTAAAACACTAAACCAAAATAAGGAGAAATTCTACGCATATGACTAATAAACAAA